ATAAAGAAGTTTGAAAGCAAACAATTAAAAAAAATGTTTTTTTCAACACTTTACAAAAATTTTGCAAATAACTTTTAAACTACTAAAGCATCAGAAATCTTAAGAAATTTCCTTTATAATGACGCAAAATTCATTGTTTTGTGATTCGTAATCACTGAGTAAATAATTTTAGAAATAGGGGTTTGAATTTTTCTTGATCACCTGAAATCTACATAGAATTTTTAATTTTTTTAGCCCAATAACTTTGAATTTGTTAGTTTTAGTTTTTTCAATTATGTACCACTGGAAAGCCTGAGAAATTTTCTATCAGACAAAGTAAAAATTATTGTTTTGTGATGCGTAATCACTGAGTAAATAATTTTAGAAGTAAGAGTTTGTATTTTTTTTCGTAACTTGAAATCTACTTGGAATTTGAAATTTTTCTTGAAACTAGATGTCATTTGATAGATTATTGAGAGTAGATTTTAAATATATTTGTTTTTTGTTACTAATTTTGTTTCAATTAAAAAAATAAAAAATTTAATTGTTCAACACCCTAAGTGAATTTTACCAATAACTTTGAACCTGTTAGTCGTAGACTCTTATGTTTAGTACCACTGGAAAGCTTGAAAAATTTGCTATCACACGGTATAAAAATCATTGTCTTGGGGTGCGTAATTGCCCGATAAACAATTTTCAAATCAAGCATTTGGTATTTTTGTTGGTAATATGAAAGCTACTTGGAATTTTATATTTTTCGCAAATTTAGAGTAATTTGAAGACCTCTAATTTGTGTCTTTTGAAAGATTTTAATATGTGGATTCTAAAAATGTTTAGTTTTTTGTGATTTGTTTAATAATTTTGACATATTGTGTTTGAAAACTAAAATATTTAAAAGTCAAAACTTTGTTTTTTTAAGTTCATTTTTGCTGATAACTTTGTAATTATTGAACTTAGATTTTTGAGTGTGGCACCACTGGAAAGCTTGTAAAATTTCCTATCAGATGAAAAAAAAATCATTGTTTTGTGATGCGAAATCACCGAGTAAATAATTTTAGAAATAGATGTTTGGATTTTTCTTGGTCACCTGAAATCTACTTAAATTTTTTTATTTTTTCGCCCAATAACTTTGAACTTGTTAGTTTTAGTCTTTTAAATTTGGTACCACTAGAAAGCCTGAGAAATTTTCTATCAGACAAAATAAAAATTATTGTTTTGTGATACTGAGTGGCCTCGTAAAAAATTGCAAAACCAAGCTACAGAAACTTACTTTTTGCTAGTCAGATTAACAATGGGATTATTATTGAAATAGAGCGTTTCCAAACTGTGTGCATCCCCTAACGTCTCCGGTACTTCCCGAAACCGATTCCCACTCAAATCCAAGAAAATCAAATACTTGGGTGTGTGCAAAAACCCAGCTGGAAGACTCGCCAATCCTGTATAACTCAAATCCAAATCCTTTAAAACAATTAGAAAAAAAAAATCAAGACTTGACTCACTTTCAAAAAAACTAAACTAGTGATAGCAATCGCAGTGGCCTGATCCAGGATTTTCAAGGGATTATGAGACAGTGATAAAACCTCAATCCTGGAAGTGTGCTCAAAAATATCCTTATCCAAAGTGTGAATCTTGTTGTGGGCCAAATAAAGTTTGATCAGGGATTTTAACGGTCGCCAATCACCCTCCAAATATTGACCCTTTAAAAAAAAATTGAGAAAAAATTCTTAAAAACTACAACTTACATCAAAAGTGTCTGGATGCAAAATTTCGATGTTATTGTAACTCAAATCCAACAATTGCATGTTTTGAAGGTTACTAAACACATCATTACCAATTCTAACAATCGAATTGTTGCTTAAACTCAATTCGATGAGATTTGAATCGGGGAATTGCGATTTTAGCTCCAAAATTGGTGAATTTTGAATCTTAATTTTGGTATAACTGTACGACTTGCTCTCATTTTGGTTGATCCAAAACGATTTATCGAAAATATAAGATGAAATGTCTTTAGTACAAGTGACTTGTAATTGATTGTTATCGTCGTTAACACAGTTACATTTCTCGCAAAAGGGTGGGACATTGGGATCTGAAATCACTGATAACACCAGTGATAAGAGAAAGAGTAACAACATTGTTGACCTGGAATTACACTAAGTGATTTTTTAGACACTAAATGCAAGATTTATACTTGGTGTTTGAAGAAATTGTTATTTTGACACTCTCACTGCTAAATGAAACAATTTTTTGAGACAATGTCTCATTGATTAGCACAATTCACACTTATCTTATCACTAGGTAAACAAAATTTCGTCAGGTATTGAGCAAACTGCGTTCTAGCTAATATACCGAGTGAGTCATTAAGTGGAGTTTTAAGTTTTTACCAATAACTTGACAATTACAAGTCGCAGGTTTTTGAGTTTGGTACCACTGGAAAGCTTGAGAAATTTCCTATCAGATGAAAGAAAAATCATTATTTTGTGATGCGTAATCACTGAGTAAATAATTTTAGAAATAAGAGTTTGTATTTTTATTAGTAACTTGAAATCTACTTTGAGTTTGAAATTTTTCTCGAAACTAGATGTCATTTGATAGATTTTTGAAGTGTAGATTTTAAATATGTTTCTTTTTTATTATTAATTTTGTTTTAGTTAAAAAAATAAAAAGTTTGGAAAATCAAAAATTGATTTTTTCAACACCCTAAGTGAATTTTACCAATAACTTTGAACCTATTTATTGTAGAGTTTTATGTTTAGTACCACTGGAAAGCTTGAAAAATTTGCTATCACATGGTATAAAAATCATTGTCTTGTGGTGCGTAATTGCCGGGTAAACAATTTTCAAATCAAGCGTTTGGTATTTTTGTTGCTAATATGAAAGCTACCTGGAATTTTATATTTTTCGCAAATTTAGAGTGATTTGAAGACCTCTAATTTGTGTCTTTTGAAAGATTTTAATATGTGGACTCTAAAAATGTTTAGTTTTTTGTGATTTGTTTAATAATTTTGACATAGTGTGTTTGAAAACTAAAATATTTAAAAGTCAAAACATTGTTTTTTTAAGTTCATTTTTGCTGATAACTTTGTAATTATTGAACTTAGATTTTTGAATGTGGTACCACTGTAAAGCTTGTGAAATTTCCGATCAGATGAAGAAAAAATCATTGCTTTGTGATGCGAAATCACCGAGTAAATAATTTTAGAAATAAGAGTTTGTGTTTTTATTAGTAACTTGAAATCTACTTGGAATTTGAAATTTTTCTCGACACTAGATGTCATTTGATAGATTTTTGAAGTGTAGATTTTAACTATGTTTGTTTTTTGTTATTAATTATGTTTTGGTTAGAAAAATAAAAAATTTGAAAAATCAAAAATTGATTTTTTCAACACCCTAAGTGAATTTTACCAATAACTTTGAACCTATTAGTCGTAGAGTTTTATGTTTAGTACCACTGGAAAGCTTGAAAAATTTGCTATCACATGGTATAAAAATCATTGTTTTGTGGTGCGAACTAAAATATTTAAAAGTCAAAACATTGTTTTTAAGCTTATTTTTGCCGATAACTTTGGAATCATTGAACTTAGATTTTTGAATGTGGTACCACTGGAAAGCCTGTGAAATTTCCTATCAGGTGAAAAAAAACCATTGTTTTGTGATGCGTAATCACTGAGTAAATAATTTTAGAAATCGGGGTTTGAATTTTTCTTGATCACCTGAAATCTACTTAGAATTTTTTATTTTTTTAACCCAATAACTTTGAATTTGTTAGTTTTAGTCTTTTGAATTTGGTACCACTGGAAAGCCTGAGAAATTTTCTATTAGACGAAATAAAAATTATTGTTTTGTGATTCGTAATCACTGAGTAAATAATTTTAGAAATAAGAGTTTGTGTTTTTATTAGTAACTTGAAATCTACTTGGAGTTTGAAATTTTTCTCGAAACTAGATGTCATTTGATAGATTTTTGAAGTGTAGATTTTAATTATATTTGTTTTTTGTTATTAATTTTGTTTTAGTTAGAAAAATAAAAAAATTTGAAAAATCAAAAATTGATTTTTTCAACACCTTAAGTGAATTTTACCAATAACTTTGAACCTATTAGTCGTAGCGTTTTATGTTTAGTACCACTGGAAAGCTTGAAAAATTTGCTATCACACGGTATAAAAATCATTGTCTTATGCTGCGTAATTGCCGGGTAAACAATTTTCAAACCAAGCGTTTGGTATTTTTGTTGGTAATATGAAAGCTACATGGAATTTTACATTTAGAGTGTCATTTGAAAGATTTTAAACTGTGGATCCTAAAAATGTTTAGTTTTTTGTGATTTGTTTAATAGTTGTGACAAAATGTGTATGAAAATTGAAATATTTTGGAGTCACAACATTGTTTTCCTTAAGCTAATTTTTTCCCGATAACTTGAGTACCAAAAAACTTTGATTTTTGTGTTTGGTACCACTGGAAAGCCCAAAAAATTCTTCTTTAGATGAAATTAAAATAATTGTTTTCTGATCCGTAATCACCAAGTAAATAATTTTTAAATTATGCGTTTTAGTACCTTAAATATGACTTGGAATTTTACAATTTTATATTAAATTTTGATTAAAAAGTAAGAAAATTACTTTAAATTTACTTAATGATATTAATTGTGTAAAATTCTAGTCTAGTATATTTAATAATAAAAATGCAAAAAGAATTAAAGTCAATTTCACGATTTTGTAGAAAAATGAATAACTTGGCAACGCTGCGACCGAAATTCAAAATTAAAACAAGGCTTTATAGCAGTCTTTACGGCAAGTAAGAATATGTAAATTGTCGTTTGAAAAAAAAATGAGTAGGGTGCAAATTTCAAAATATTGACATTACTTATTTTTTTTCTACTATCTTTTCCTGTATACTGAGTGGCCATAAAAGTAATTTTTGTGTTTTTAATTTTTTAAATTTTGATTTACGTCACAATTAAGTCAATTAACCTTTCGTTCTTTTATAAATGGAAGTCATACGTCAACAAATGTTCTTAAAATTTGCATTTCCTGCATTACACTTGAATTATTCTGACCCTGAACCTGATGACTATAAAAGCTATATAAAGGAAAATCGCTGCAATTGGTCGGTTTAATAATGAATCGGTACGACTTCGAGTACGGAAAGTGGCTTTCGAGTCCACCCCCCGACGAGCAAATTGTGATTTCAGGTACTACCAACAAACTCCCAATTCCCAACTAAAATCCTTTCTAGGAATTTCTGGTAAATTCCCCAAGTGCGAAAATGTGACCGAATTCCTGGAAAATCTAATGGAAAAAACCGACATGTTGACCGAATCGAAAGAACGGTTCAAAATCGAGCATCCAGAAGTACCACCCAAATCGGGATTACTCCAAGGAATGGACAAGTTCGATGCTGGATTCTTCGGGATTCATCATCGCCAAATCCAGACACTTTATTTGGGATTAAGGAAACTCCTGGAAATCGCCACTGAATCAATCATGGACGCTGGGATTCATCCCAAGGAGTTGGAAGGGAGCAAAACGGGAGTTTTTGTGGGGTACTCATGGAACGACTCCGACGTGGAAATCCTAGCCAAGGTTACTGGAACCCAACAATTCGCCATGACTGGGTATTTTTACAAATCTTAGTGTGCCGTGTACAATTGTGTTTCCAGATTACTCCGTTGCATGGTTGCCAACCGTCTCAGTTATTTTTTCAAATTAAAAGGCCCTAGTTGTGTTTGTGAAACGGCTTGTAGTAGTAGTCTAGTGGCCTTTGACCACGCTGTAAAATCCCTAAGGAGTGGCCAATGTGAGAATGCCATTGTTGCCACGTGTCATCTCTTGTTTCATCCAGCTGTCACAGTACAATTTTTCCGGTGAAACCCCGATTTTTTTTTGATTTTTTTTATAAATTTATTAAACTTTTCGTAGCTTGGGTGTTTTAAGCCCCGACAGTAAATGCAAAGTCTTCGACGAGGACGCCAACGGTTATGTCCGTTCCGAAGCAATGAGTTGTTTATTTTTGCAAAAAAGCAAAAACTCGCGACGAATTTACGCCAAAATCCTTCATTCGAAGGAAAACAGCGACGGTTTTAAATCTGGGGGAATCACATTCCCTTCATCCCCCGTCCAAGGCCAACTCCTGAAGGAGATGTACGCCGAGAGTGGGATTAATCCCTCCCAATTGAGCTATTTTGAGGCTCATGGAACGGCAACTCGTGTCGGCGACGTCGAAGAAGTCAACGCAATTGATAACATTTTAGGACGAAACCGAACCGAACCGCTTCATATCGGTTCGGTTAAATCCAACATTGGGCATTCGGAACCCGGTTCAGGACTCTCTTCACTCATCAAAGTCATTCTATGTATGCATTCCGGTTATTTACTCCCCAACATACACTTTAACCGAGTCAAAAAGGACATAACCGGAATCCTCGAAGGTCGGTTAAAGGTTGTAACCGAAAAAACACCACTCGAAAACCAAAACGCAATTGCTGGGATTAGTAGTTTCGGGTTTGGTGGGAGTAACTGTCACGTGATTGTGCAAAGGTGGGGGGAGGATGTAGCACAAACCGATCAAACACCAAGACTGGTCTGTGTGAGTGGTAGAACCAAAAATGCAGTTAGAAGTTTTCTAAAAATCAAAAATTTTGACATTGAATTTATCGCTTTGGTTCATCAAGTTTTCAAACACGATTTTCCGGAACACCCATATCGTGGATTTGTTATTTTAACCAAAAACGGGCCCCAAATCGATTCAGTTCGGCTCTGTCCTCTTGAAAAAGTACCACTATTTGTCAGATTTGGGGTTTTGGATAAGTGGTACCACGCTGTGGGGCGGTACTTTCTACAATTTCCAGTTTTTGAACAAACAATAGAAAAGTAAGTAGTTTGGTACTAGGAACCACCAAAAAGCATTTGTTCCAGAATTGGTACTCTTTTGGGCAATGACAGGATAATTGAAACACTAAAAGGGGGCAAAGGTGGGGTCGAAGACCCCACTTTGGTGTCTTCTTGTGTCCAATTAGGGATTATAGACGTACTAAAAGTGCTAAAAATTGACCCAAAATTGATTTGGGACAATCCCAAAGCAAAAATCGTGTCACAGTACTACCAAAATTCGTCACTTGAGACAACTCTAGCCCGGATCAAGTCCCAAGACACTTCAAACGGTTTCGAGACACTTGAAATGGTACCACAAGACTCAATTGTGTGGGATTTTACCGATTCAGGACCATTTGGTGCAAATCCTGACCTTTTTTTGGAATTTTTGGGCCGGTACTTGAACCAATTTAATTGATTTTTTGACTGTGTTTATATCGTAGCTTGTATGAATGTAATTATAACCCACAAGTATGGAAATTGTACCCTGAGGTAAAGTTTCCGGTACGTAGAAGTACCCCATTTTTGTCCCCTTTGATCAAGTGGAACCATGAAACGAAATGGAGTGTCCCCGAATGTAAATTACAAGGTGAATCATTAACAGTGTCAGTGGCCTTTTCTTTGGAGGAAGAAGCAGATAAGTATGTCGAAGGACATGTGATTGACGGTAAGTGAAACTTTGCAAGAACCAAAGTACTACTTTTTCACTCTAGGTCGGAATTTATTCCCAGCGACTGGTTATTTGTACCTAATTTGGGTCATTTATGCCGAAAATTACCTAACAAGATCGGCCAAGTTGGCACCAGTGGTTTTCACAAATTGTAAATTTATTCGAGCAACGATAGTACCAAAAATCGGGTTTTTGAACCTTGTCATTTCCATACAACGAAAAAGTGGGTTTTTTGAAATTATGGAAAATGATACTATTGTGGTAACGGGACGAATTGAGGCTCCTCAAAACTTAAAACCCTTCAAGAGTAACCTAATGGTTACCGAAGACAATAACTTGGTTTTTGACCAGTCCGACATTTACAAAGAGTTACATTTGAGGGGTTATGACTACACGTAAGTGTCATTTTGTGAAGTACTCAACTAAGTAGGGTTTTTAGAGGACTTTTCAAAAATATGCTCAAGTGTAACACTGAAGCAACTTGTGGAGTCCTCAAATGGGACAATAATTGGGTGGCTTTCATGGACACAATGTTACAAATTAAAATCCTCCAGATGGACACGAGATACCTTTACGTCCCTGTTGGTATCAATAAACTGGTCATTGACCCGATTGAACACTTGAAAATGATCGGTGACGAAAAAGTGGTACCAGTGAATGCCTACAAAAGCAACAATTTGATCAAATCTGGAGGAATTGAAATTTCGGGTCTCTACGCAAGTCCAATTTCAAAACGCAAACAGATTCTTGAACCAGTATTAGAAAAACACGTTTTTGTCCCAAATGAGAGTACCATGGATTTGGACACAATCCTAAGGGTCAATACCCAAATCATTCTAGAGAATACAATGGAGGAGCAGTTCAAAGCAGTTGAAATAGTTGATGAGTTGGTACCAAGTACCCTTCTAATGCCTTTGATTTACAATGCACTCGAGGACGTACCAGTGGTACACCCCGATTTGATCATTTCCACTAAAAGTACCCTCGAGGAGGTACCAGGTGTCAAAATTGAAAATTATAGTGTCTCAAGTGAGAGTAATTTATCGCTGATTGTTGGTACCAAAATCCTGTCACGTGTGACGGTACTTCAGAAGGTTCTAACCGGTTTGAGTAAAACTGGTTATATTTTGAGTCGCGAAGAGAGAGATTTTAGTACCACTATCGCAAATTTAACTCTTGTGACTGTGTTTGGTACTGGGAACGAGAAATTGGTACTTTTGAAAAAAACCGAACCGGTTGAGGGTCACAAATTTGTTGAAATTGATTCCAATTTTGGTTGGATTTCTGAGTTACAGAAATCTCTTGATGGTCACACTAGTGTGGTACTTTATAGTCAGTACCAAGATTGTGATGGTACTTTAGGTTTAATTAATTGTTTGAGACGTGAACCAGGTGGTAATAAAATCACTTGTGTGTTTATAATGGACACAGCACCGGTTTTTGACCCTCAAAACCGGTTTTACAGCCAACAAATTAGTAAAAATTTGGCTGTTAGTGTTTATAAAGAGGGTCATTGGGGGACGTATCGACATTTACGGCTTGAGGACTCTATTGAGGTTTTGAGGGAACACTCATTTGTTACTTGTGTTTCAAAAGGTGATCTTTCGAGTCTTAGATGGGTCCAGGGACCTTTAATTGTGAATAATGACCCAAATTTGGTGATAGTAAGTAGCAAAATTGTGATTTTTGGAGATAATTTACTCAATTTTAGAGTAATTATTGTGCTATCAATTTTAAAGATGTTATGACAGCTACGGCTCGTATTAATTTAACCATTGACAGGATTAACCAAGAGAATATTGAAGGATTTGAGTTTAGTGGTCACAAAATGGGTGAAAAAGTGATGGGGATTATTTCAAATGGTGCTCTCTCGACTTTGATTACTTCTGATCCGAATCTGACTTGGGTGGTACCAAATGACTGGTCATTAGAAGAGGCAGCAACGGTACCAGTGGTTTACTCAACTGTTATTTACGGCCTTTTGATGGTAATTAACAAATTGTGTGMTTCTCAAATAACGCAGATTTGAAGCGTTCTAGTCTAAAACCTGGTACTTCAATTCTGATTCATTCTGGTACTGGAGGTGTGGGTCTTGCGGCCCT